TGCCACAGCGGAGAGGTCCTCTTCTTCACTGAAAAGTGGAAGTACGACGTCACTGATGGCAGATGCTCAAAATGCAAGTGCCAAATCCGGCGACAATAAATTTGATGTTGTACATCACCCATTTCATTGCACCAGAAATACGGAGGGCAGAAAAGCCACAAAATTGACGGTCGGCACTCCCGCACTGCTCCGGAAGCAAGAGCACGAAATGGGAGAGCCCCCAAAATAAACCCATAGAAAAACTGGCAGCAACATAGCACGGCATTGACCATCGGCGTATCGACAAAGCCAGACTATGAGAGAGCCAGCGCAATTCGCCATGACACGGTGATGCTTCACCAAGCACTTGAACCAAGCTCGCGAAGATCCCTCTTGTTTTCACATGAACTCTCTGCAGAAGGTGTTGTCAAGAATAGGAGGCGCACAAAGTTGGGAGGTAATCCCCATCTTGAATAATCCTCTGGAGCAGCACTTGAATGCCATCCGCAGTTTCAATGACCCTCGCTTTTTTTGGCTGGCAATAGCAACGAGCTTTCAGGACACCAATCCACAAAAACATGCGAAACAAGGGAATGCACATGGTTTGCTTCTTGACGTCAGAACACCAGTCAATTGATGTATGGGTAGCAAAGGACTGACCAACATTTGCTTGCTGGAGCCACCACATTGCTCTCATCCAACCTTCATACGCACCTGCGAAGAGATGTGTAGCATTCCACGCAAGACGCGGATCAAAGTGTGACAGGTTCCATACTGGCACGAGAGCATCTGCAACCGCCCTTCCAACTGTAGGTCTGTTGACCGGCTTGGTAAGCAAGCCAATCATCATTCCAGGCGTGAAGTCAACGCGACCATGCTCGACTGGGCAGATCACATCGAAGTTGGTCCACCGATTACTTTGAACCTTGTCGTCCATCATCAGCATAGAGGTACGCCGAACATGCACACAAAGAGGAGGACCAAGGTGCACATTCACAACTTCACCAAGAAGGACCCAGTCTTCAAGCTCGCCTCGACACTCGCCAGTGGTGGCAATGGCCTTCAGACCAGTTTGGACCGCAGCCAAACCTGAAGGCAGGCCCATGCTGGCCCAATGGATGAGCGCCGCGTCTGCCTTGAACTCATCTTCGTTGCTCGTTTCCTTAGTGGCCATGGCGATCTCAGCCCTGGAGAGGGCTAAGTCTGTGGACGCTCCACCCCCACCTGAGAGGTGGGTAGCAAAGCCGCGGCCCTCGCAGGGGGGCGTGAGCTGCCCGGCTTTGGGCCGAGACAGCTTGGGGGAGCTTCCTTGAAGCAGCGCTCGCACTAGTCATGTGGTTCCTAGATTGTTGGGGCTGTTAGGGAAACTCAACTCCGATACAATGATTTTTTCAAGGTCTTAAGATATTTGGACGAATGATCTGCCTGTCTTTGGATCTTTAGACGCGTGTTTGTTATTTGTATGTGTGGGCAGAGGCCTTATGTTACCCCGCCTCATTGGGGACTATTTTCTCGGAACTAGGGGCCTGGTCTGGCAGAAGTTCGGAATTCTTATGCCCCCGCCACTTGAAGCTAGATTTTTGTGATAGAGTACACACATAGACACGTACGTCGCACTTGAAGTGATGAAGCTAAAGGTGAAAGTGTGTTGTTTGGAAGGAAGAGTTGAACCTAGGTCCTCCCATCAAGGCCAGCGGCCACCCACATTTTGGAATAAAAGTTGACGCTTGCTCGCCTGTCTAAACGGCAGCCCCAGTTCTTGAGCGCAGGAGCTGTTTCGTTTTTGTTTGCAACTCAAAGCATCAAAGCTGACCAGAATCAGAGATTTTGAAGTGCTATAATTATAACCCCTTGTCAGACAACCTTGAATGTTTCACTTGCGTCACTCACTCTCAACTGCACTGCTCCTCAGCATGCTGGTTTGTGCAAAGCAGGTTGCTTGTCTTGGCCTGAAGTGGGTGTTGGTGGTTGAAAGCCACACAACCGTGATCCACATACCGGCAAAGCTGAATCTCATCAGAACAAGTAAGGCTTCAGTAGCATTAACCAAGAAGCTTGCAACAAAAACTAGACGACGGTTGGCCCGAGAGCGAGAAAGGTGATTGTCAAGCAATTCCGAGTGAGGACATAGTTAAAATCGAGTTGTCCAAGAGCCATAACTTCTTTCTACAATCTGTTATTGAGTAAGAAGTTGCGAAGAAATTAGACTTACTGTAAAGTATTAAGAGAAAAGATATGTAGAAAGAGAGAAAGAGAGGGCGGATGTGAAGGAGTGACAGTGTGGATGTGCAGGTGTGATATAGATGTGGAGATGCGTGGGTGCGTGGAGGTAGAGAGGTAGATCTGCGGATGTGAGCGTGCCACACGGTCTTAGAAGCAATCCTATCACACGATACCGCCAATCATCCCGCTCACCAGCGACACGCCGCGTTTACACCAGCATGTTTCGCGCTCGCCAGTGGCACGGCGCCACGCAAACGCACTTTCCACCAAGGCCGCGCAAATCCGCATGGCGCTGCGACATCACGGGCGTAATTTCGCCGCACGGTCTGCCCACACTAGAAGCAATCCTATCACACGATACCGCCAATCATCCCGCTAACCAGCGACACGCCGCGTTTACACCAGCATGTTTCGCGCTCCCCAGTGGCACGGCGCCACGCAAACGCACTTTCCACCAAGGCCGCGCAAATCCGCATGGCGCTGCGACATCACGGACGTAAATTCGCCACACGGTCTGCCCACACACTGCAAGCAATCATATCACACGATACCGCCAATCATCCCGCTCACCAGCGACATGCCGCGTTTACACCAGCATGCTTTGCGCTCCCCAGTGGCACGGCGCCACGCAAACGCACTTCCCACCAAGAGCTCGCAAATCCGCATGGCGCTGCGACATCACGAACGTAATTCGCCACGCGGTCTGCCCACACACTAGAAGCAATGATATCGCGCGATACCGCCAATCATCCTGCTCACAAGCGACACGCCGCGTTTGCGCCAGCGTGTTTCGCGCTCCCCAGTGGCATAGCGCCACGCGGACGCACTTTCCACCAAGGCCGCGCAAATCCGCATGGCGCTGCAACATCGCGGACATAACTCGCCACACGGTCTGCCCACACACTAGAAGCAATCCTATTGCGCGATACCGCCAATCATCCCGCTCACCAGCGACACGCCGCGTTTACACGAGAATGTTTCGCGCTCCCCAGTGGCGCGGTGCCACGCAAACGCATTTCCCACCAAGGCCGCGCAAATCCGCATGGCACTGCGACATCGCGAACGCAAAGTTCGCCGCGCGATCTGCCCACAAGCAATCATATCACACGATACCGCCCATCAGTACAAATGTAGTGCGGGCAACAGCGTTGCGGAGCTGGACTCAGAAGTGTGTGCTTCTAGTGTGACATGATTGCTTCTAGTGTGTGGGCAGACCGTGTGGCGAAATTACGTTTGTGATGTCGCAGTGCCATGCGGATTTGCGCGGCCTTGGTGCGTTTGCGTGGCGCCGTGCCACTGGGGAGCGCGAAACATGCTGGTGTAAACGCGGTGTGTCGCTGGTGAGCGGGATGATTGGCGGTATCGTGTGACAGGATTGCTTCTAGTGTGTGGGCAGACCGTGTGGCGAATTTACGTCCGTGATGTCGCGGTGCCATGCGGATTTGCGCGGCCTTGGTGGGAAGTGCGTTTGCGTGGCGCCGTGCCACTGGGGAGCGCGAAACACGCTGGTGTAAACGCGGCGTGTCGCTGGTGAGCGGGATGATTGGCGGTATCGTGTGGTATGATTGCTTCTAGTGTGTGGGCAGACCGTGCGGCGAATTACGTTCGCGATGTCGCAGTGCCATGCGTGGCGACTTCTGAGCCCAGCTCCGAAAGGCTCTTTCCGTACTACATTTGCACTACAAACTGGCCAGGTCTGAGTCCAGCTCCAACAAGCTCTTTCGCGCGCTACATTTGCACTACAAACTGGCCAGGTCTGAGTCCAGCTCCGAAAAGCTCTTTCCCGTACTACATTTGTACTACAAACTGCCCACTTCTGAGTCCAGCTCCGAAAAGCTCTTTCCCGCGCTACATTTGCACTACAAACTGGCCAGGTCTGAGTCCAGCTCCACAAGTGAAGCGCCAAGTCTCCAAAATGAGCGTTTCGCACGAGACTTCCTCCAAAAGTGAAGCGCCAAGTCTCCAAAACCAGCGTTTCGTACGAGACTTCCTCCAATAGTGAAGCGCCAAGTCTCCAAAACAGCGAGACTTCCTCCAAAAGTGAAGCGCGACCAATCCAAAACGCAGTCTCAGCTGCATTTTGCGCCCTCGACACGCACCATCTCCGCAGAGGGTTGCGCGCGACAGGGCAAAAACGCAATGATCACCTGCATTTCGCGCCTTCGACGCGCACGATCTCCGCAGAGGGTTGCGCGCGCCAAATCCAAAACGCAATCTCACCTGCATTTCGCGCCCTCGACACGCACGATCTCCGCAGAGGGGCCGGACACAGCAAAAACGCAATCTCACCTGCATTTCGCGCCCTCGACACGCACGATCTCCGCAGAGGCCCCACCTTAAGTGAGAAAGAAAAGAAGAGCGAGAGGTGAAGATGTGAGATGTGCAGATGTGAAGATGTAGATGCAGAGATGTAGATGTGCAGATGTGAAGATGAGCAGAGATGTAGATGTGCAAATGTAGAAGATGTGCAGAGCTGTAGATGTGCAGATGTGAAGATGAGCAGAGATGTAGATGTGCAAATGTGGAAGATGTGCAGATGTGAAGATGTAGATGAGACGTAGATGAAACGTAGTTCTACAGATGTTTTTTTACGAAGAACCCTTTGCAGACGCCCTCGGGAACAAAAACGGAATTCAATGTTGGGGGAAGGCATCGCCATCGCCATTGCGACGCTGTTGGGCATATATCAGTTGGGAACAGACGGGGCTGTGAGGGCGGAGCAAGTGCATATGAAATGAAAGGTTGTTTCGGCAGTGCAAAGTGTACTGTACTCTGTACCCCATTCATTTTGGCAGTCTACCCCTGACGAGAAGCTTCACGTTGTAAAATTGTAATTATTGCCTTGTGATGTCCGTGCAGCTTCTCCAAGGCTGTGAGGACTGTTTGTGGCAACGTCTTTCGGAAGTTGCCAGCTCCAAGGGAGTTTCCGCAGTGACTTGGATGACAAATCCATTTCTTTCTGTCTCTTTGTAGCCATAATCATCAGAGGTCAGTTTTTCTAGGTCTGAGTTTTGTGCTTTAGCGTTGTTCGCATACATGTGTGAGGCCGCAGAACTTCTTTGCCTAAATTGTGGAGACCAGACCTGAGTTGACTGGATTTCTTTCTGGCTGCAACCTCTAATGTGAGTTCATGACAATTCATGCCCATGCAGAAATGAGTTTGTTTGGGTTCTTCTTCGTGTCGAACTGACCGGGGCTTCAACCGAAGTTGAAGGGACCGGCCTTGCCAACGGAAGCACAAGGACAAGGGCAACCTCGAGGCGATCTCGGGGTGTTGCTTCGGAAACGAGCGGTTGTCCAGCGGTTAGTGCATAGTTGTCTGGAATTTTCATGCAATACCTGTACCTGCTGATTTTAAAGGGATGTTATGATGTATCGTGTCAAGAATAAGCACCTCAAACCTGCCTAGATCCACAGGCCAATTTGTCCAGTGCTTTCTTACCCGCATGTGCTGCGGGTACACAATTTAAATATACACACCTTGGTGCAGGGGTTGCTCCTCCCTTTGATGCCAAGAAAGAGGCAAGAATGTGGTTTTCTTTCTCTTCCTAGCTTTGGATAACTTGTGTCAGCTCATCCTTTGTTGTCTATAGATAATGTTTGACAGCCAGGATTGGCAATGCTGCAGTTGTGGCCGCTGAGTCTGGAATCAGAACTTGCATGACATACTAACACAGAAACACAGAAGTGGAAAGTGGTCCCTGCGAAGACTATTTTACACGTTGCTGCACTATAACTTGGGGGGGTTCCACTTCCATGTTGCTGAGTTGAAAGGTATTTGTACAGTTTTTTCAAACTGATGAGAGCGAGTTTGATGTTTGTGGTTCAGGTTATTCGAACTTTGCGCGGCGCCAGTTCTGCAGAAATTGTGAAGCGCCACGGCCGCTTTCTTGCAAATCTGTGCCGCACAGCCTTTTCTTTGTCCACTGGACAGTTTCGTCCAATTCTATTGAAGCTAGCCCTGCAGCAAGGTATACCGTGCCTGAAGCGCTCGATGAGGTGGAACACATGATCATGCGTGGATGACTGCGCTCTTCGATTGCCATCTCAAGGTATGTGGAGCGTGCAAGGAGTCAGCCAAGGCTGGCAATTCATTCACAGTGACAAATTTGCTTGGAAAGAGAAGAAAGTTCATGGAATTTCCAGGATGAGAATCTGTTACAACGGTGGCAGCTGCTAACCTCTGCTGAGCGACGAACCGTGCCTTGAAATGACAGAACATAGCAAACTTTGGGCCAATAGACAGCCTAAGGCGTCCATGGAACGTTTCCTGAGTCTTCTTGATACTGAGCCAGTCAGCTCCTTGGAAAACATGTTGTCAGTGTCCTTGTGTTGCAGTCTCTTCCAGCTCCTTCTTCTCCTTCATTGTTCGTTTCGTTGCGAGGCCACGGATGCTAACGCTAAGACTTTGGCAAGGCCACAAAATAGCCCGAGCGAAAGGCAATTGAAGGAAAGCCTGTCGGCGTCAGGTTCCAGCCACAGAACCCACGAGCCGCAGCTTCTATGCGCTTGGGCGACACGCAGCAGGACAAGCAATGTTTAAGTGAGATGGAGTATATGCAATCTGGCCATAAAGAACACTCAATGTCGGTTTTGCTTGACCTTTTGGGTTGTCTGCATATTGTAGACTTGCATGATGGGTACCGAGCAACCAATGGTTCATGTACAAGATTGTAATAGACTTCTACTGATGTATGATCATGTTGCCATCATACAAGTTCAGATATATAGTAGTGCTTTTGTAAAGTGACAAAGAATAATACAAACAATCTTGAACGTGTTGGGTTTCAAAGAACGAAACTGGGGGTAACAGGAGCGAAGTGCAGAGCTACACAAGGCGTGATGCCAAAATCAGACATACCAAGAGTTGTTGAAGGAATACAGAACATGACGTCAATGACGTTGCTCATCGTTGCTCATGACAGCTTGACGCTTCTTCATGCTAAGCTCAGTGCTTTGCAAAAGGGACGGAGCCATTTGGGCATGAAGCCTGATTCTGCTGCCATGGTTGTCGCAGGCAAGCTCAGCCTGCGATACTCTGCGAATTATGGCACTTCTGGAAGCAGCTCGTCACTACAAGAATGGACATGAACAGAATCAAGGAATCTGTGAAGATCGCCCAGTCCAGAATTTTGAGAACTTCATTGCATGAGCAAGGCCGGAGTTGACATTGACGCTTCGAATGAGCTTGGAACTTGACTTCGTGGTCAAAGTGTAACACAGCTATCCCAACATTCATAGGATGATAGACGTGCCCATGTCTCTTCAGGTATGGACAAACAGCCATATTCCTGGCCGCATACCATGATGCTGCTGAGGCACAGAACTCAGTTCATCACGTTAGAAAGTAGGGGTGAGGGATGTTGGCCAATTAGGCTGTCAAATTGCTTGCATGGTCTGGTGCAGATGTGGCCTTCGGCTTAGACTAAACAGTGTGACAGTCCACAAGGTGAGACCGCATTTTGGCATCAGGATCGCCCAGCCAATGGAGGAACGAGTCCATGGATGTGTGCTGCGGTCAACGGTTTCAAAGGCAGGACACATGAACACATGGACAGTGGTAAAGTGAAAGAAAGGGCATCAAAGGAAGGCATGCTCCCAATTGTTTTGATGAAAGGCGTGCTGGAAGTTCTCAGTGAGGCGCTGCTGTAAATTCATTCAATGGAACCTTTGTGATGAGCTTACTGAGGCAGGTGCAAAGACCAACAACTTGTCCGAGCAGATAGACTTTGGAATTAGCACACCCAAATTGAACTGGCTGATCCCTGCCGACTCGGACGTCAGACAACATGCAGTCACGATTGATCTAGGAAACTTGAAAGAGAAATAATGGGCTGCGTTTCTTGTAGGCTTTGCAAGGGTTGACAAAGCTGCTTTGTGTGCAGGAACTTGCTGGAGCTGGAAGTTGCCTGGTTGACTTTGGATTTCCGGAAGGCTTCCTGAAGCAATTGGAAAGGCTGTTTGAATCTCTGCCCGTGGCACCGAGCACAAAGTCTTCCTCATCTGACCGTAGTTATTACTGTGACTTGCCAGAAACCTGCAGATAGGTGACTTGGGCCATCTTGGGCCTTTGAAAGGAACAGACTCAGTTGGCGCTTTCACGGTGTTCCATCTGAGCTTTCTGGATGCTGAGGCGATTCAGAGGGTTGGGTGCGACGCGCATTTCAGGATGCCTTGGGAGAGATTGCGGAATTGGGCGAAGCCCCTGGTAAGGTCACAATGCCACACATGCGTTTTTTGCACTACTCTGAAGTTGGTGGAGGATTGCCGCCACATGTAGATTTGGCTCGCACGGATGAGTTGGGAAGACGGTCTACCCACACCTTCATCCTCTACTTGTGGGACAGCACTGTCCAGATGGGAGAGATGGGAGAAATGAATGATGGTGGATATGGTCGATGCAGCTCTGGCGGTGAAACAGTACTCTTGAGCCGAATGGAGGACAGCTCCGCAGCATGTGTGGTCGCTGTCGAACCTCGCAGGGGAAGACTATTGCTCTTCCCGCACATGTGCCCACATTTGGCACGCCCGATCACCGTCCCAAAGCTCTTGCTTCGTGCTTTGCTCAGTCTTGAATGAGTGTAGCATTTCAGGCAACGACTTTGGACATCCAAAATGTCAGTTGTACTGACCAAGGTGGCGAAATGCGCTTGGATTTGACGAGTGTGAGCTGCAAATGCGAGGAGCAAAAAGACAAGACTTTCTGCCAAACACTTGGAGCCATTTGTTCAATTCATTTCACCCACGAGGCGTGAAATTGGCGAGAAAGTCAAACACGTCTTGTATCTAAGACCGCGCGTTGTTGATACGCCGATATACACGTACAAGGTAGCAGGATCTTCCGCGTGCGTTACAACACTGACACGCATCCGCCTTGCCAACCGCAGTGCCATTTTCGCCATCAACGACTGCCTTTGCACGGCCGT